GGGGGGGGGGACATAAATATTCACATGACAGTCCTCGTTCTCAGCCGTTTCTCCCTCCAATCCATTCTCCACACAGCCTTCAGTCTGCTTTCTTCATAGTGCTTATTTCTAAATTGTTTGTATTCATTAATTTGTTTACTTGTTTATGTCTGTTTTCCCTTAAGCTCCACGTGGACCTTAAGTTCTATGTGGACAGGACCAATCTGTTTGGTGACATTGTATCCCTGGGTCCTAATATAAGCGTCGCGCACAAGTACCAGGTGTCTTGTTGAACAAATGAATGAATTAATCCATAGATGAACAAAAAAATAACGAATAGGACGTATATGTCACTAAGTATAATAAAAGTGATGAGCAAATAAGAGAAATCAAGACGGAAACAGAGAAGATGACTTCATGGAGAAGATGACATTTGAACTGTACAAAATTTTGAGTATTCCAAAAAAGGGAAATTCAGGTAAAACAAATGGCATGAGAAAAGATGTGAAGATGAAAAAGGATGAGACACAGATAAGAAACACAGATGTTTCTTTTGTCAGCACTACAAAATGCAGGAAAGGGGAACAGTAGTGGGTAGACAAATGATAGCCTTTGAATGTCAGACAACTATGTGATAGAAAATGAGAAGCCATTAAGGGTTTCTTGATCATGGTAGTTATAGGAACGGAGATATATTAATCTAGTAGCAGTATCTGGGTGAATTGCAAGGAAGGGATTCTGGAGGCAAAGAATTGCCAATGCTTTTTCTTTCAGATCAATTTCTGGTCCTAATCTCTCTGTTTCCCCAAGTGTGGATTTTAGATGCTAAAACTGATACTCTCTTCCCAAGCAAACATTAGCTCTTTTAATCTCGACAATCCTATAAGACCAGATGTTTAAAAAAAAAAAGAAATTATGGAAAGAATATCAGTAAGATCGGAAAACCAGTAGAGTCTGGGAATTACAGAAATAGGAGGCAAAGAAGAATCAGAGTTTCGAAGCAGCCCTTGACTTGTCCCTGCTTGTGATGACAGATTTCATTTTATCATGTTGAGCTCTATGATGCTGATGGAAGAGCTTTAGCTTCAAGTCAGACCTGGATGGTGAATATTTGACCAGCATGGTACCACTACCCCGTATCCAAGAGCAACGTCACTGATTGATTGTGGCATGTTTTACTCTGAGCCCAGATTAGTCCTCAGAATCCTTCTCAGAACAGGGCTCTAGAGACTGTCACAACCAATAGAACAAAGTTGGCTCATGAGATGAAACCCATTTGCCAAGTGTCATTTCCAGGCTGCAGATTTGTCATACCACCTGCGCCATCTGCTATCGCCTGCCTCTGTCATGATGTCTGTATCCACTTGTGCTGTCTACTTTTAAGTTAAATTATATAAAAATAAAATAACCGTGATTTCATTTACAACTTTGCTTTTCACGTCATTACCTGTCAGGTATGTTTGCTCATGTATCTCTGTGATGCTCAACAGTTCGGCGTTCTGTTGTTGACAGCTCTTCCTTGCCTGGTGCCAAGTTAAAGCAGATTTGGAGTTTATCTGGTAGTAAATGCTAGTCAACGGATCTTTATTCCATAAGCTCGCACTGCCCTCAACTGCAAAAGAAGTCAAATGGAAATTTGCTGCATGCTGCATAGAAAAGACTTTTAGTGAACAATATTTTTCAAACAGTGCTAGCAGCATCATTGCCTGAAGCCTTATAATTTTTTAAACTTATTTTGAAAGTACCTATGAGATTTTCTTCACTCCTGAAATGAAGAGGAGAATTTTCAAAGGATCAACCACATCCAATCCCTTTCATGTCCCTAAGGAAAGAAAAGGAGGCATCATCTCCTTATTTTTCCATTGGGGCACTTGGGATCAGATGAGTTGGGAAGTGAGGCAAATACACCGACCAAGAATAGAACTACCAGCCCAACTGCTAGCAAAAATAAAAGGGAGAAAAGAAAATAAAGGTATTTCTTCTCTTAGAAATTAATCTGTTTTCCGCACATTCTAATTTGGTCTTTTTAGAAACAGAAGGCATTAGAGGGGAGATGCGTGGACTCCTCAAATGGACAGACGTGTACCTGCACCCCACACTGCCACTCACTCCTTGTTTGGCCGTGGTTAAATTATTAACTTTTGGAGCTTTGTTTTCTCATCTCTAGGGTATATTCAATATATAACTCCTGGCACATAATGGATGCTGGCTGTTAGTTTTCCTTCCCTCGAAGTAAAAAATAACTGTTTTAGCTTATTTTTCCTTCGCTATTTCATGAGTCCCAATATACTCCATAAACTTGGATGTACTCTATGAAAGTCCAATACTACAGATAAAAAAACCCAAACCTGTTGCCAACAAGTCGATTTGGACTCATAGAGACCCTATAGGACAGAGTAGAACTGTCCCATAGAGTTCCAAAGAGCGCCTGGTGGATTCAAGCTGCCAACCTTTTGGTTAGCAGCCAATGCTGAACCACTGCGCCACCAGGGCCCCAATACTATAGATAGATAGATATTCACTTACAACTTTTACATATAAGATATTTGGGAAATTAATAAACAATTGAAATATTTCCATATACTTAAATGGTGTTGAGATTTGTCTTTTGTCTTTTTAATAATATAAAATTCTACTTACAAGTCACATGAAGTAATAATCCTTTCATTTCCTTTGTAAGGAAAAGAGAAAGGATTATATAACTTCACAAATTTCTTGAGACATGTTCAGCTTGCTAAGAAATTAGGGTTTCCCATAGGCAGATAGCTTATGCTGTCCTGATTATTAACTCTGTACCTAACTGTGCTTTGTATCTGATGAGGAAGTGATCACAGAAGTTTGTCATCCACACACCACACCCTGTGATATGAAATTGGAGGTCCCATGGTACATGGAGGAAGAAAATTATACTAAAATTTCATTCAGGCAACAACATAGAAATTTCTATGATGTTTTAACTATAATATCATTGCGTACTTATACAAAAAGAAATTGTAATTAGTAATGTTAAACAGGAGCCCTGGTGGCACAGTGGTTAAGAACTATGGCTGCTAACCAAAAGATCGGCAGTTCAAATCCACCAGCTGTTCGCTGGAAACCCTACAGGGCAGTTCTACTCTGTCCTATAGGGTCGCTATGAGTTGGAATCAACTCCATAATGGGTTTTGTTTTGTTTTAATGTTAAACTGGCGCCCTGGTGGCACAGTGGTTAAGAGCTTGGCTGCTAACCAAAAGGTTAGCAGCTCAAATATACCAGCCGCTCCTTGGAAACCCTATTGGGCAGTTCTGCTCCATCCTAAAGGGTCGCTATGAGTGGAAATTGACTCCACAGCAACGGGTTTGGGTTTGGAATGGTAAACTAAATTAAAACGATCTGAAGCCTTATTTATTGTCCAAATGGACTCTTCCCCATGTAAGTAAGAACATGAGATCTTGAATATGAGACTGATCTAGGGTTTATTGGAAGATGGAGAAGTTTTAAACAAATCTTTTTACGTGCTAATAAGGAAGTCTTAGAATTTGGAAGTTTTGTTTATAATATGGTAGAAAATGTGGGCTATAAAAAAAGGCAGAATATTTTCCTACTGAGGGATGGAGGAAACGGATATAAATGACCAAAGAAGGAAATATAATGTCACTCTTCATTAAAGAAAGAGTATTTTGGATCTTAAATCAAGGAATTAAAACATATTTCTCAATGAGTGTATAGATGTGCTGGCTATTCAATGTTTCTCCAAAGAGTTCAAATTTCCACAGTAAGCCAGCCCTACTGATGTTGCAAGCTAAAGTTGCAAGCTATGGAGAATTGAGAGAAAAGGGTCTTTTCCTTTTCCTGTTCTCCTGATACTTGAAAATAAACATCTAAATAGAAGGAAAACATTGCAATAAATAATGCAAAAACAATGAAGAACATATATTAAATGTCACTAGTTCAATTACTGGTACCTCATCTTCCTGTATTGAGCCTGCTAATTTAAGAGTAATTTACAATAAAATGTTCTTTTGAAAGGAACACAAAGCAAGGAAAATGGAATAGATTGGAAAATTGCAAAGCTCTTTTAAAAAGGCATGAATTTATAAAACATGTCTAAAAATTTAATGCATACTGAAATGAAACAATTTTTTACTTTCAACAGTTTCTACTTTTACATTTAACAGGAAAAGTATCAAATTTGGTTTTGAAGACATAACTTAGAGGTGACAAAACTGAAAGAATATTCTACTGAAAATACCAAAAAGACTCCTCCAAAACACATCATCCAAGGTTGTAAGTTTTCTTTGTGATTAATGACTTGACATTTGTCTCCCACATTTCATTCATTAAATCATACAGTCATCCAGCAATGGTTTTGTCAACACCACTTAAATGCAGAATGCTATAGATGGACCTATGACATCCCAACCTTAAAAACTCCATAACAAACAGATTTTGAAAATTCCATTCCTGCAAAAGGAATGAAGCAGAAAGCTATTCTTTAAACACGGGAAAACAGCTTAATTTTTTCAGACAAAGAGACTTCTAATACAGAGTTCAGACATTTATAAACCTTCAAAGGGAATCACTCCTCTAAAGGTTGCTATAAGTGAGGCAAATACATTTACCTCACCCAAGAATGGGAGAGCAGTGCCACTATGAATGAGAAGCCTGCGAGTTTTGGTGGGTATTCACCCAGAATGGAGAAACTGCACACAAGAGAGAGTTACAATAAGAGAGTTACTGGGCTGAGAAATCAAATCTACTTTCAGTGGGGTAATTAACCAAAACCCAAGCCAAACCTGTTGCCGTGGAGTCCATTCCAACTCATGGAGACCCCATCTGTTACAGAGTAGAACTGTGCTCCATAGGGTTTTCAAGGCTGTTACCTTTTGGAGAAAGATGTAGCAATCTGCTCCTATAAAGATTACAGCCTAGAAAATTCTATGGAGCAGTTCTACTTTGTCACATGAGGTTGCTACAAGTTGGAATCAACTCAACAGCACTCAACAATATACAACCTTTTGGAAGCAGATAGCCAGGCCTTCTGAAGGCACTTCCGGGTAAAAGTGGGGATGATTAGGGATTATAAATTAAAAGAGATAAATAGGGACAATCCTTTAATATGACAAACTAAAATATACTTGTAAATTATATTGTCTTATAATTAATGCTTTGGATAATGTGACTATGAGTGATTTGTGGTCCCAAAAGTTAGTTGTAATTACTGCTACTGCAATTCAGGTGACTGCACAACCGCCCCAGGCTGCATCTGATGTTCTTGCCCCACTCAGCCCCTCTGAAAGGCAGCATGAAAGTGTTCTGGGTAATGCCAGAAAGCAGAAGCTACTCTGATATACAAAGTCTGAAGGGGCAGGTGAGAGGTCAGGGGTAAGAAGTCTGGGGGGAAGAAGAGGAAAAGGGAAGTCAGCAGCAGGAGGAGAATGTGGTTGGGTGGGGAAAGTAAAGCAAAGAAGAACCCTTCATTTTTCTCCTGCCTAAGCTCCAGCTCTCCCTCCCAACTCTGATGCCCACCTCCACCCCACACAAAATCTGCTGGACTGTTGCTTCATAGATTCTTAAGTGTGGAAAGAACACCAAGAAATCATCTGTTCTGGCCTCTTCCCACCAATATAATGCAATACCTCTCATTTTGCATTATTGCAACAATACTTGCATTTTTATTGAAAAAAAAAAAAAACCCTTCAAACATATAAATAACCTATGTCCATGGATTCAAAGTTGTGTAAATTAAATTTAAGAAGAGTATCATTACTCTCATTTTCATGGTGAGGAGCCTTTTTCATTACATTGACACAAAATTCAGGAGCCCTCTCGTCTCTTTCTCTTTCTCTCTCTCACTCTTTCCATCAAATCACATGTGTAAGGCATCATTTATATTCTACTGTTGATCTACAGTTTAATAAATCACTTGGGGGATGGGAAATGGCATGCCTACCTCTGGAAATAAGTATCTATTGCATCTTCTACAGTATAGTTTGCCTTAAAATCTTAGACAATAACTGAGAGTAAAAGTGGGAATTGGAGAAAAGAAGAATTTGGTAAAAATAAAGAGATCGTTTGATGCAGACAACGTTGGGATAATGGTCACGCAGTCTAGTCTTGTTGGCACTATTTAAATACACACAAAACGCTTATGGCTGAGAGTCGGAAGATTATGTTCTAGAGGAAAATGCTGTAGATAAATGCAAGGAATTACAACAACATTGCCATGGTAAATGTGCCAATCTTTTCTTGCTAATAAATAGTTACTTACATTTCAATGGACAAAATCCAAATAGTTTGTCTGTGTCATAATCTGTGGTGGTTCCACACCAGAGCCATCCATCTGATCGCCCAGCACTTGTACAATCCGCATACCACTTGTTTTCAAACTTGAAAGGAAATGCACAGGTTGCTCCATTTGCATTGCCCAGAAGTGTAAACATGGCTAAAGAAACATAGTGACTTGCATTTAGAATGTGAATGATGCTTCTGAACATTGACTTTGCAATAAGAAGCACACTGAAAGAAAATCAGTCTTTCTCTTCTGATCACACTCGATGTCCTCACACACAGGGATTTCCGTCCCCCCCACCACCTTTTTTTTCCTTCTTATTGCTCTGTCTTTTCCTCTGTCCCTCTGCTCAGCCTTTTGCTGGGTACATACAGAAGTCTGTACTTAATTCTAGTACCACTTCATTTCTGCTTTCAGATTGTCCTCTTTCCTCTTAAGAGGAAATAGTTGTCAGCTATAATGAAACCGGTTTTGATTTCTGCATTTCCTCCAAAACAGAGAATAGGCCCTTCTTCCTCTTGGTTGGAGTCATAGAATTATTGAATCTCTTGATTGAATTAAAACTGTGCAGCCCAAACATGCATTCAAGATTTAAATCCCTTCAATGACTTCTCGCCAAGCTAGCCTTCACCTAGTCCCTCAACAATGTCTACCAGGAAGGGTAGGGATTTTGGCAGAACTCTATAATCCCATCAAGAAGAGAAACCACTCGAAGCCATCTGATACCATCTACAACCAGTATCTACCTTTTAAAAAACTGTTTTCAAACAGATCTAAATGAGAAAGTCTGGGTTCAACTAAAAAGGAAAATTGAAATAAAGGATTATTGCTGATTACGGTTTGGCTTAAACCAACAGGATTAGAGAAGCTCATATATCCACTGACAACCAAATAACTCCTCTAGCTAAATTCTCCAGTATGTTAAAGGTCTCTGTCTTTGTAGCGATCCCCCACTTTGGGAGATAATAACCCTCTATATTCAAGTATTTGGTCTCTTGCTCACAGTGGTATACAGAATTTGTCCTAAGTAGGAATTCTTTTTTATTAATTATGTTTCATAGATTCTATGCCTTGAAAAATAGATACTTAGTCATGTAAGTAGTAGAAAGTTTGTAAAACATATAGCACAGCACCTAACATATATTAAAAGCACAATAAACATTAGTTCCTTACCCTCTTCACTTTCCCTTTACTCAGCATAGATATCTATCTCTCTTTAAAAGCTAGGTTGTTTTTTTTTTTTTTTGAGATTTTGAGTATTTTAATAAGCCCTGTACTATTTTCAATAGAATCTATAATTGACATCTCAAAGTAAAACTTTCCCTTTCGTTTCTTTATGCTCGAGCAAGTTTGTAAAGAACATTTATATAAAATGTATTTTAACATTTTAATTATTGGTATTAAAGTCGGATACCAAAAGTTAGTAAATTCAATTTCCTAAAGTGTACTACCCTCTTGAAAGAGACATTTTAAAGAATATACGTACTCATATAAGTAGGTCAGTTTTTCAGAGTTCTTGAAACTCCTAATTGTTTCTAAGAATGTATTATTTTGAACAGTTTTAGTGTAAAAAATTTTTGGTACATCACAGCTGAAATTTTTTCTTGGAATAGATAAAAGCCATTGTAATTTGATTAAAAGAATCAAACAAATAATTCTATTATAAATGGCAGTTGTGCTACAAAATCAGGTTTGAAATACTAACCACTATTCATCACATCAGCTGTGCTTTAAGTCTCTCTGTCTCCAGACTTCCCTAAAATTCCATCTAGTTTATTTACTTTTCTTTTTTTTTTATTGCTGTACTTTAAGTGAAAGTTTACAATTCAAGTTAGTCTCTCATACAAAAATTTATACATATGTTGTTATGTGACCCTAATTGCTCTCCGTATACTGTGACAGCACACTCCTCCTTTCCACCCCTGATTTCCCATGTCCTTTCAACCTGCTCCTGACCCTCTCTGCCTTCTCATCTCACCTCTGGACAGGAGCTGCCCATTTAGTTTCATGGATCTACTTGAGCTAAGAAGCAGACTCTTCACGAGTATCATTTTATGTCCCAAAGTCCAGCCTCATCTTTACTGAAGAGGTGGCCTCTGGAATGGTTTTAGTGCTGGGTTGACAGAGAGTCCAGGGGCCATGCTTTCTGAGGTTCCTCCAGTTTCAGTCAGACCGTTAAGTCTGGTCTTTTCACTAGAATTTGAATTCTGCACCCCACTTTTCTCCTGCTCCAACAGCTACTCTCTGTTGTGTTCCCTGTCAGGGCAGTCGTTGGTGGTAGCAGGGCACTATCTAGTTCTTCTGGTCTCAGGCTGTTGCAGTCTCTGGTTTATGTGGCCCTTTCTGTCTCTTGGGCTAATACTTTCCTTGTGACTTTGATGTTCTTCACTCTCCTTTACTCCAGGTGGGCTGGGACCAATTGATGCATCTTAGATGGCCACACACTAAAAGCTAGGTTTATTTTTAACCTCAAAATTATACTGTTAATTTTTGTCAGCTAGCTATTAATGAATTTTAAATGCTATTCTATATTTAGTTCCACTAAGTTACAGGGTTGACTCTTCCAAATCATATTTTGTATAAGGAACAAGCTGAATTCAGAAGTAATTGTGATACTCTTAATTACTGGAACACCTGTTCCTTCATATGAAGAAAACTCATTCAGACCACCTCAGGGATAGTTGCGCTGGTTATTGAGGCAGCCAAGCAATTTTTAGTCCTGGGTTTATAGATGCCATTCGGAAATAGCCTTTTCAGAACGAGCTCAGTTTATTTACAATTATTGAACCATACTATACACCAGGTACTAATGAGGGTAGAAAAATAACTGAGCCCCTCCCTCCCAGCCACCTAACTGTAGTCAGCTTACTCTTTCTCTTGTGATCCTAACTTCCAGGCAACACTTAGAGCCTTCTGTGTCTAAAATTCTGGTTCTGTTTCTCTAAATAATCTCTGGCCTCAGCCAGTTTTCTTCCCCAAGTTTTCTTTAGAGAGAAGAGACTCTGATACACACCCTCTGAATTGTCTTTAGTTCTGATGTTTGTTCCATTTAATGGATTCCAAGACCACTCTGAGGGGCTAGACCCTCTGGCAGGAATATCTTAAGTATTGGGAGATATTAGGGAATACCCAAAGGGTAGTCAATGGACCATCTGCATCAGGATCAACCAAATCTTCATAAAAATAGTTTAATAGGTTTCTGGGCCCTTCCCCAGACACGCTAATTCAGAATATGGGTGGGAGGGAGAGCTTGGGATCTTCATTTTCAACAAGTTTTCTAGGTGATTCTAATGCGTGTTAAAGTTTGAGACTCACTATCCTATGTATATTCTTCTCAAAGCAAACAGAAGAACAGAAGTGGGATGGGATACTGTACAGTATTTTAAAATAAAATATGGTGCTACATGTCTTAGAATTAATCTTTGTCATATCAAATTCCTCAATTAGGACTATTGCCCCAGCTGTGGAATTCAACTCAGTCAAGTTTGCTTCACCCTGTCCTGCCCTATAATTTTCTATCAAAGTGCTCCTTGAAGGCTGTGTTACTTAGGTTGTCCCTCATATGACTTCTAAACCTACATTATGTTCAATAAATGCCGGGGATAAATTATTTCTGCACCCTCCTTCTAACCCTACTTCAACTCTGACTCTCCCCTCCTCCTTACATGGAAGGAAAATGGAAAGCTGACAGATTATCTCCTTATAAAGAACTGAATTCCTATGCTCTGTCTTAGCTGCGATAAACTAGGTTAGCTAATCTGAGCAGTCCTGGTAACACAGTAATTGTGCAAACAGATAATCTCTTGTCCCAAAAGGCAATGTCTTCTCTGACCTTGAGGTTGTTCTAGATAACACTTCACAGTAACCAAGTATCTAATCCTATAATGTGGTTATAAAATCATCACACTCAAGAGATTCAGCCTTTGTAAAAGGCTTCAAGTTCTTTTCTCTTTTTCTGTACAGCCAACAGAGAATGAGATTTGGCCAAGAAAATTGGGCCAAGAGGGGACTAAATATTCTGGTTTTATTTAAACTTGAAGGATCCTAGGAACCAATTGCATATAAAACGACTTTTTTTTTAAATTGTGGTAAGTATATATATAACAGAACATTTGCCATTTCAACTTTTTTTTTCCATGTACAAGTCAGTGACATTAATTACATTCATGATATTGTGCAATTGATTTTGGGAGGAGGGGGCAATGGTACTACAGTTTTCTAAGACAACTAACTAAATAGGCCACATTTTAATTTATAAGCTAATTCCCCACCTTTTTTAATCTTCTGATTATTATAGTCTCTAAATACCCATATGGTGACAAAACAAATCAGTAACATTTAGAAACTCAAATTATCAAAGAATTTGCCAAGATTTCATTTAGGGCAATCTGAATTTGTAAATAATGTTGTTATCATTTCTCCTGGGATAACTTAAACTAAAGGAAAAGAATATTTGACTAAATTCATTTATTACTTACGACCTTATCATGTCAAAAGGCAGGCTTTGGGTCAAAGACTACAGTGAAAATTACTTTCTAAAAATCATAATCCATGAATAAACAAAAAAAATCTAGGCAAAGTGAAAAGAAATAACTTGCCGTTGATTATAAATAGCTAAGGTATCATTCAGGACTTTTTACCACCTTTATTCACCATTATGTTCTCATAGAACACAAAAGAGTTCTTGACACAAAGAAGATGGTCAATTAATATTTCTAGTACAGACTAAACAAGAACATGCTTACATTCTTGAACTAGATTCCAACTAAGAAAATGAGAAAAATTCGACATAAAGGTAAAAAACCCAAGATTCTTACCTTCATAACCTCTAGAGCATAAATCATCTGTGGTTCCATAGATCTTCCATCTGCTCCATAAACCCGATCCCTTGTATAGCATAATATTCTTTTCTTGTCTGTTGCCATAGTTAAAAAATAAATCTTCTCCCTTGATTCCAAAAAGTGTCTCATTTCTGCACTCCCATTTCTGAAATTCACTCTTGGAGTCACAGGCATATAGAGTAATAGCAACCCAATCGGTTTTGGATGGGACCCCCAAGCATAATTTAAATGCAACACTCATAACCTGGGAATCAGACACCCATCGGAATTTCTGTGATTCATTGTCCGGGTTGCAAACTGCAGTTTGAACTGCACTGGGGCTCAGTGCTTCCACACAACGCTTGTGATCTTCATTATATATTAAAAATTGTCTAGTGTCTGTTTAAAAAAAAAGAAGAAAGAAAGCAGGCTTAAGTGGGTACATGTGACAAAGACAATTTTATGTCTTAAGTTCCCAACCTTCCCATTTCCCTGAAAACTTATGATCACAGGAAAAGAGGTGAAGGAGACTCTGCCGGGGCCAGCTCAGGCCCTTTTGGGGACCCCTCACGCTGGAGAGAGGAACTGATTGAGGGTGCCTGCCTTGGGGAGGATGTGTGGCTGTTGGCAATTGGCTGAAATCTTCCAGATGCCCTAGTTAATTATGATGAGCCCTGGTGGCACAGTGGTTAAGCATTTGGCTGCTAACCAAAAGGTTGGCCGTTCAAATCCACCAGTCACTCCTTGGAAACCCTAAGAGGCAGTTCTACTCTGTCCTATATGGTCGCTATGAGTCGGAATCAACTGGAAGGTGACAGGTTTGGTTTTTGTTTTTGGTATGAGTTGGCCTGTAATGTGCACATGAATTATAGTGGAGTAAATGTAAAAGGTAGATAGCAGAGAAAGAGATAACATCAATCTGAAAAGAGAAAACTTAGGTAATACAAATACACTAAGGTATAAAATTAAATGCGTGTAGATCCTGGAAGGGAATTTTGAAATCTGACTCATCCCTACCCTCTTTTGAGATATATGAAACTTATGTATAACTACTCAATTATAGCACCTTTTTTTTTTTCAATTTAAAAATAATTTTATTTATGTAATTTTGTCTTCATTGTATGTTCTGCAAATTTTTGAACTAAGTGCTTTCTGGGTAGCCCCCGTCTGAGTAACTAGTTTTTTGTTTGTTTTGTTTTCTCTTCTAACAATAGGTAACTTAGAGATCTGGAATCTAGAGATAAATTAGTATCTGTTACATAATTTTAACTTCCATTTCATTGGCATATTCAGTCTAACATTTGTATAACAAAAAGATACAAAAATGTACTTACAATTTAATAATTTGTGGTTTGCAGTAAATTTAAGTTTTTAGATAATTTAAGTTAAAACTTCAAGAATAACTTTAAAAATAACAAATTGTACAATACTTTCGATTCGGGACTGGTGACTTAAGAAAATGTCCATGTGTGGCTTTTGCTTACATAGTATAGAGTTGTTAGCTAGAAAAGCCTGGCTTCCTGCTGTAAATAAAAGGACCTGGTCAACATTTTTTTTGTTTTTAATAAAATTGAGTTCATGTAAAAGTTTTTCTTTTTTAAGAATAGACAAATTAAAGGAACTGACTCTGATCTCTTTTTAAATTTGTGACATAAATATAGATTAGACACATCTTATCCTAAATTCCTTTTAGTTCTGTGGTTCTTTCAAAATGAGCTGGTAGTATTGCAGGTTTTTTAGGGTCTGAATAAATGACCTTGCTATTTTTAATCAAATCACCCCAGTGCAATGTAATAAGGTAATAATAGGATCACTAGCAGAGACCTTCACCATTCACAAACCGCATTCTATTTACTGTTCTCAACACCCCTGTGAAGTTAGCTCCCCTTACACTCTGCAATCAGTTTTAAGACCATCACCTTAGGACTTATAATGAATCTTTGCTTCAAAGGATCATTTTCTGCTAATGCTCTCTTGTTTCTGCTCTTGTCCCACACTTGTTAGAAATCTGCTGCCTTTATTCTGTGTTCCTAACTCTGGGCTACACAGAACCTCTGCCTGGGTTCCTCAGCAGAATTACTCATTTGTGCTGGTTTGCTTTCTCGGAGTCAGACCTCAGTAATACCTGGATTCAGAATACCTGCTTTTGCTGACTTCTCTGGAGTTGACATCTGTCAGTTGAATATATAATACATAACTGAATCTTCTCCTGTCTAGCTGAACTTCTGCCCAGTTGGTCTCATTTTGTTGCTGCCATGTTCTAGTGTGATAAAATGAATCACCTTCTGTACTGATGATAAAATTAAAATTTTAATAATATGGTGCATAGCTCATAATAAAACACAGGAAATAGAAAAATAAAGACAACTTTTAAAAACAGTTCCTATGATAATTTACCACACGTAAATATAAATTTAGGCCCTTCTAATCTAAAAAGGTAATGAACTGTGAATATTTACACATGTAAAACAAAATAGTCCAGATATATATATCTGGAAACTCAGCTATACTGACCTTTACATTTAAAGTAATTTACTTTTGCTATTTTGCCAATTGTTTTCATATCTAGACTTAACCTCCACTTTTCAGATAGCTTTGCTCAGTAACATCTCATCATTAATAATACATATGTCTTCTACCTCAGACTTCAGCCATTTTGATTTTGTTTTTGTTGTTAATTTAGTGACTTAGGAGACCCCATGTGTAACAGAGTAAAACTGCTCCATAGGATTTTCTTGGCTGTAATCTTTATGAAAGCATGTTACTAGGCTTGTTTTTTTTACATGGTGCCACTGGGTGGGTTCGAACCACCAACCTTTCGGTTACCAGCTAAGCACAAGCTGTTTGTACCACCCAGGGACCTTAAACTTCAGCATTTTGATTGTACTGGTCAAGCTAACAAATTCAGTCAAGTAATCAGTTGGTGACTAGCCATTTAAAATAAGGTGCTTGAAAGTCTTCATACGTGAACAGTGTTCCTTGTTCAGAGCTTCTTACTCTTATGGACTTCTATGTGCTTAATTTTGATTTGTGGTTCCATCTTAATTTTATTCTAAATATAATGATACTTAACAAGTAAACATGGTCTCTGGGTGGTACAAACAGTTTGTGTTCAACTACTAACTTAAAAGCTGGTGGTTTGAACTGACCCAGAAGCACCATGGAAGAAAGGCCTGGCAATCTGCTTCTGTAAAGATTGCAGCCAAGAAAACCCCATGGGGCAGTTCTACTCTGTAACGGAGTCACCATGAGTCGGAATTGACTTGATGGCAGTGGGTTTTGGTAATAAGGACATCCAGTCTTCTCACTCTCATTGATCACACCCCCACCCACCCAGATCCATTAAGCCCAAAATCCTAGCAATCATTCTGGATTCCCAGCTTTCACTCACTCTCCGGTAAGCTCATTGGCATCGAGTTGATTCCAACTCATAGTGACCCTATAGGAGAGGGTAGAACTGCCCCATAGGGTTTCCAAAGCTGAAATCTTTACGGAAGAAAAGACTGCCACATTTTTCTTTCTCTTGGGGAGTGGCTGGTGGGTTCAAACTGCCAACCTTTTGGTCAGCAGCTGAGTGCTTAACCACTGCGCCACCAGGGCTCTTTTTCCAGGACAATAGCCTTTCCAGGACCATAGAAGGAGCTATTGGCTCCACCCAAAGATATACCCTAACCCACCGTGTCTCTTCATGTCCACTGCAACCACCATAGGCCATAACACATTGGTCTTGATTTAGAACAGCTGCAGTCACCTCCTGACTAGTCTCCCTGACCCCCTACAGCCCATTCTTCCCAGAGAGGCCAAACTGATCTTTGAAAAAAGTAAATTAGAGAATGTCATTCCTCTACTTAAAGCCCTTCAAGAGTGCACCATTGCACGCAGAAAAAACCAAAACAAAACCTGGCTTCCAAATCACACCTCACTAAACAGGGCATGATCCAGCTCCAGCGACCCCTGCCCTGTCTCCTACTACAATCACATGGCCTTTCAGTTCCTCAGCTACTCCAAGTTCATCCACTTTAGTAACTTCATACTTTGAGTTCCCTCTTCTTTGGATGCTCATTAGAGAGTTCACCATCCTAACTATTTTTACTCTTTTATTTTCTATATAGTATTCATAACCATCTTAAAATATGTCCTTTTATGTTTGTTTTCTTAAGTTTCGTCTGTCTCCCTCTACTGGGATGTAAACCCCATGAGAAAAAGGACTTTATCTTTCTTATTCATTAAGGAGTCCCTGGATGGCTAAGTTCTCGGCTATTAACCAAAAGTTTAGAGTTTGGAATCCACCCAGAGGCATCTCAGAGGAAAAGCCTGGCGATCTACTTCCAAAAGATAGCCATTGAAAGCCCTATGGAGCACAGTTCTGTTCTGACACACATGGAGTCACTAAGAGTCAGAGCTGACTCAACATCCATTGGTTTTTTTGTTGTTGGTTGTTAATTGCGTTCTTTCTTTTTGGAGTCTAATAGGCTCTCAACAAATATTAATTGAATGACTGGAAGAATATTTACTAAGTCTGAAGCATAGTCCTAGTAACCAAGAGAAACTGTTTTATTTAATAATTGATTAATGGTTAAGGATTGATTTAATATTAGTTTTTCCCTTAAAATCTTATTTTTACTGAAGAGCAATTTATAAATGCTTGGACTTATGAAAGGAGTGCTTGGAAACAAAAAGCTTCTGTTTCAATACACCCTTATCTATTCTTGTTTCCTTTATTTGTCTTTTGGCTTCTAACACATTAGGAAGCCGTGTAAGTCTGATATTGCCTTTGGCAGACAATGTGAGGAAATGTAAAAGTATCGCTCGATGGTGATACATTTAGACATTATGCTTCTCCCCCAGTTGTCAACAGGTTAGTTTTGCTTTCATGATGATCTCTGTGAAAGGTCCCTGATCTACAATGTCAGGCTTCTTCCTTTGAAAGCGTATTCCAAGACCTTGACCAAGAGGCAGCTGGTGGCAGTTCTGCCGCAATTAACCACAATTTTACACATTTTTAAACATTCCATCTTTTGTCTATACAAATTATGTTATTGTAATAAAAATACTGCAAAGCCGAACAAGTGAGGACGGTAGGATAGCTACATTCGTCTGCAACTGCATTTATAGGATCTAATACATGAGCTTTCTTTCTTCCTTTTAATACCTACACATCAGAAATTTATTTATAAAATTGGAAGAGCCTCCATCCATCTTAAGTTGATTTTGTCAATTTTGCGTGTATTTTTCAACAAATATTTGGCAAATATTTGGCAGTGCCAGGCACTGCACTATTCGGTGACAAACCAGAGAGACCAGCTAGCTCTCTGCCCCCACTGAGCATGCACTCTGCTATGGTTAATTCAAGGGCTACATCTCAAAGGTCAGGAGCCCCTGAGGGTGAAAATGGTTAA